GCGCGAGCTCAACCCCCGCGCCGCGCGCTTCCCACGCCGGCGTCCCGCGCGGCGCCACCCAGCGGCTGCGACGCACATCGCCGCTGGCGTCCGGGAACGGCGGCCGCAGCCTGGGTGGATTCGGAAATTCCCAGGGTAGGGCCGCGGCTTGCGGAGACCCTGAGACCCAGGTCTGGAGGTCGCTGGCCTGGGCACCGAAGGGGCCCACACTCTACCTCCAATGGGTTCTCCAGAGCTTGGCGTGTCACAGTGGTCCCTTGCTCTTACCTGACCGTGCTTCCCCTGATTTCTCTTCAGGTGACCCCTCTTCTAAAATGCCAGAGGCGTATATTCATCTCGGATGCCCATTTTTGGATTGGGTCTTTGAATTTTGACGGCCTGATAGGAAGAAATACAAATGACAAATATATGAAAAAATGTTCAGCATCACTGGTCATTTCAAAAATGCAAAACAAAACGACAATGAGGTTCTATCTCACCCCAGAAAAAAATGGCTATCGTCGAGAAGTCAACCAATAACAAACGCTGAAGGGACTGTGGGAAGAAGGGATGCTTCTCCACTGTTGGTGGGAGTGGAGACTGGGACAACTATCATGGAAATTAGTGTAGAGATTTCTCAGAAAGCTAGGGTTGGAAGTCCCAGTCAAGCCAGCTATTCCCCTCCTGGGTATTTTTCCAGCAATGAAGACATCATACCAGAGCGATATACGTGCACGCATGTTTATAGCAGCACAGTTTGTCATAGCTAAATCTTGGAAACAACCCAAATGCCCATCAGCTGAAGAATGGATAAAGAAAATGTGGTATTTTTACACAATGGAGTATTATTCAGCTGTAAAAAGGATAAATCTGAGGTTTTGGTTGGTAAATAGATGCGACTAGAGACCATGCTCTTAAGTGAAATAAATCAGACCCACATGCCTAAACATTATATTGTCGCCTTAGTGTAAGAACCTCGAAGAGTAAATAAAATCTGAAGGGTACAAAGACAATGAACCTGTTCAAAATGAAGGAATTACTGAGAAGGACAGGAGAGGGAGTTGGGGAAAGAGATACATCTATATATGTATGCATGGGGGTTTGGATAATTGTACTTTGGACTTATGCTGGCCTGTTTAAAGGTGCAGTTAATGCTTTTTGTCTTTAATTTTTTGCCTTTTTCTTTCTTCATAATTTTTTTTCTTTTTTCTTTCTTGCAATTTTGTATGCGTATATCTGGTAATCTGAACAACTGGTTTGAAGACAATACCATGTAATGCAACAAATACTGTTTAATGAAATCCTGTATCATTTGAAATTTTTTGCTTTAGTACTATTTTGTACTATCCTTAAAAATATAAATAAATAAATAAATAAATAAATAAATAAAAGAAATGCAGGGGGGTCAGGTGGGCAAAGGGTAGACATTCTTTCTGAGCCTGACCTTGCCAGGCCTTATGGCTGCGGGATCCAAGAACAGTGCCAGGACGTTTCTCCAGCCTTTTTTTTTTTTTAATGTATTTGGCACAGTTTCTCACTACACAGTTCAGAGTGGTAGTAATCCTGGCAGTGATCTTCCTGATTTCAGCCTCCCCAACCCTGGGAAAGGGTCATTGTGGCTTGTGCTGGAGTTCTCTCTTTCTTCTTCTCTTCTTCTTCCTCTTCCTTTTCCTCTTCTTCCTCTTCCTCTTCTTCCTCTTCCTCCTCTTCCTTCTCTTCCTCTTCTTCTTCTTCATACTGGGGATTGAACTCAGGACCTTGTGCTTGCCAGGCAAGTGCTTATTTTCTACTGAGCTATCTCCCCAGCCCTCCTCTAGCTCCTTAAAGAGCAGCACAGCCAACCTGCAAATTCTTCATTTAGAATACATCTTTCATCTTTTTCTCAGATTTAGACTGGTTTGAGAATTGATAGAAAGCTGTGGACACTTTCTCCAGAAAAATGCACATGTGCCTACAGAGACTCATGCCTGCACAGTTGGTCAGGAAATTCTGAAACTTCTCAAAGGTTGGTGACTTCTACTTTAGCAACTCACTCTCAGCAGCTCCCTGAGACAGGAGACTGTTGCCTGCTCCCCTCAGCCTGCTGTCCTCTTAGTCCCTGCCGTTTCTTCCCTCTCAAGTATCTCTACCATGCAACCTCAATCGCATGTCCCTGCCCACAGAAATCCCACGTACCCTGAAGGCCAGCACAAAGGCCTCTTCTTCCCTGATCTCCCCATTCAAAAGTGTCATTGATGATGACCTCAGTTTTCTCCCTCCCCTGTCTGTCTCATCTCAGTAATTCCTTGCTTTGAACAGGTTCATTCCTTTTTCACATTATCTGTTGTACCCTTCAGATTTTATTTACTCTTTGAGGTTCTTACACCAAGGAGACAATATAATGTTTAGGCATGTGGGTCTGATTTATTCCACTTAAGAGCATGGTCTCTAGTTGCATCCATTTACCTATAAAAGTCTTAGATTTATCTTTTTTACAGCTGAGTAATACTTTATCGTGTAAAAATACCACATCTTCTTTATTCATTTGAGAATACTATTTAGTACTATTTTGTACTATCCTTAAAAATATAAATAAATGAATGAATAAATAAGTAAATAATGAAATGCAGGGCGTCCATTTGAGGATCCAACTGAGGGTTGATGGGCATTTGGGTTGTTTCTAAGATTTAGCTTCATGTCTTTGCTATTTCACTTAAAGACACCTGAAGCTATTAGGTGGTGGGTTTAAGATCAAGTTTTCCCTTTGAGAATCAGGTGCCTTGAATCGTCCATGCTTGACAACAGCTTGCAAGGAGTTCAGCGGAGGGGAAGAGGACCACCAGGGAGGGGCCTGGATGCCCTGGCACTGCGGGGCCCTGGGACCCTGAGGCTCCAGCACCGATGTGCACATTCCAGTTCCTGGAGAGCAGAATCCTCCAGTTGGCAAGATCTTATCCATTCCTTCTCCTCCAGGCAAAGCAGCCCAGTAGAGGGTTTTCTGCATGAAGTTGGCATGCAAATTCAGGCAAGATGCTCCTGCTCAGTTGCAGCTGCTCTACCACTCACGTCTGCTAGTCCAGGAAGGGCACCACCACACTCCAGGGGCGACGTCAGCAGCAACCAGTATGTCAGGCTTTCCTGCCTGTCCTACTTCCCATGCTCCTTGCGCATGTCTCCATCTCCTCTGCTTCTCCTCGCCAAATCCTAAGGCAATCCAAAGATTGCCCTTCTCCCTTCCCAGCTCAGAGCCGTGCGGTCTTGCTCAAAGTTGGGTATTTGTCTCCATCATACCTGGCCCACCTGCCTCACCAGGCTCAAAGCTGGTCTTCACATTTGCTACTTTGTATCCTTCTAACATTCCTATTTTCAGTCTCTAGCTGTGGTGATGGTATCAGCAGGTGGGGTCTTTGGGACAGAATTAAGTCATGGAGATAGAGCCCTCCTGAATGGGATTCATGCTTTTAGAAGAAGTGACACAGATCTTGTTCTTTCTTTCTCTGCCATGCAACAAAAGATGAGGAGGAGGTACTCAGCTGCAGCCAGGAAGCTAGCCTCCAGCAGAAGCAAGCCCTGGACTAAGACCTCAAGCTTGGCCCCCCGCACCTCTAGCACTGTGATACATGCATAAATGCTTATTGTTTGAGCCACAGTCCGTGGTATTCTGTTACAGCAGCTTGAACTCAGATACCCTTCTAGCCAGGAGGATCTTCAAAACAATCAACCACTTCTCTAATTAAAACAATTTGTGGCATGTTCAGCCCTTCCTGGGGCTGACTTGCCCAAGGATCAGCCCTGGGCTGGCGTCAGGTCTCCTGCCTTGGCCTCTCCCCTAGCTGGGACTCAGCATGGGCAGTATGCTACTTACTCTCCATGTCCTTCCTTTTCCGGCATCACCCTGTCACCTGTCTTTTCCTGGAATGTCAGCTGCACTTACTGCTCTTTACTTCTACAGTGTCTGTTTTCTCATGGTAAAAATTTTGCAATTGGGTCTCCAATGCCCAGTGCAGTGCCTGGTACAATCTAGGAACACATATGTTTGTATTATGTGAATAAAGCCTTTACACATGGTGCATATCCAGATGAGAAGTTCTGGGGCAAATGTGTCATGTTGCCAGATGTGATGGGACCAGATCCACTGATGTTAGTAACAGCATCACTGATTATTTTCAAGTGAACTTCAATCTGAGTCTTCAGTTCCTTCACTGAAAAAACGGGGTTAATAATTCTCAGGCTGTACCTGAACGTGTCTAACGATGTGCTTGGGCATATTTTGCAACTTTGAAGTTCTCCTCCTGTCAGTAGCATTGCACCACCTCATTTGATCCTCACAGTAACATTTTAAGGAGGCAGCTGACATTTCTCATTTTGCATAGGAGGAAACCAAAGAGAGATGATTGGAGGCAATTTGCCTACAGTCACCTAGCTGGCTATCAGGGAACAGTGGCTTGGTGCTGAGCTCCAAGGCCAGGTAACAAGTGCTAGCACATCACCACTGCCATTCTCGCCATCCCCAAGTATTGGAACACACACACACTGAGGTCCTGAGACTCCCGTGGCACATCACATCTGTCACCACTTTCCCCCACAAAAGGATTTTTGGCAAGTGTGTTGGGTTGGTGGTGCAAAGTGGACAGTGTAGCAACAGCAACCCCAG